TGGTATACCATCATTAGTGCAAGCTATTACTAACATTATTTCAAAGAAACTCAAAACAGGTATTATTCACTACGAAATGCAATTTTTGTCTTGCACATCTAACATGGACCCTCATCAAATCAGACACATGCAAAAGTACAGACGAAAATATAGTTATGATAATTTGGAACCCGCTCCAAAAATGAAAAGACTGCATCAGATATATTTTAGAAACAAAATCAAATTCAAAGTTAGACAACAGCACAAGAGTGTGACAATCCCAACTATTGATATCTGCATTAATTAATTCAGAGAGAAAATCAGGGAAGGTCCTTACTGGTATGCTGTGTATACAATGTTTTCACGATAAAATATACTTCCTTGCTTTCAGACCATTACGATTATCATTTTATAATATATCTTTTTTAACACACGCATCAATGATGTACTTATCACCCTTGGGAATGGGGGACTCCTTAAATAAAAAGGACTGGGGTGCTCGTTGTACCTTTTAGGGTTAAAAAAGGTGGGCTTGGTACCCCTTAGGCTGTTTAGCCTCAAAAGGTCCACAGCAGCAGCTTCTGTGATACCTTTAAGGGTATTGCACCAAAAATATGTGACGGTGCGTTGTTGTAGAATTGGTGTCTTTCAGAGATGAAAAAAAACTTTATGCTACGCCCACAAACCAGGACCTTGGTATCTGTTAGTATTTCTTTTAGAACCTCTGCCCACCACGAATGGTCAACTCTCATAACAGCACATCTACCTGTAGCTCGACTTACGATCTTGAATCGTCTTGTTGATTTTACTTTGGCGAAGCCCGTTCAAGGATGTAAGGAAGTTTCAAAAACAAATCGGAGTTTAGCTGAGAAATGTCTTAGTTGAGAAGTGCAAAGTTACGGTTCAAAGTTCCAAGCGTCGATAAAAATCATACAAACACTTCCACGAAGTTTCCTGGCCATCGAGGGGAGTAATTTCAACTTGTCAAACCCTTCATCTTCCTGGGCTAGTTATTTAAGTGTCGGAAAGATTGAGTTTCCGCCAATTTTTTCTGTCGATTTTGACGAATGTACTATATGGCTTAAAATCAGCTTAAAAACTTCGAATAGAAGGGTTAATTTCTAACGATCTAGAAACTATGGTGCTGCGTCGGTGGGGGTAATAAGGTTATTGGGGTTTTATCAACCGAGTTGATAATGTAAATTGGCCACCTTAAAGATGTTTAAAAGCTGACGTTTCGGGCGTCAGAGCGACGAAAGGTTAACGCTCGAAACTACATCTTTTAAACTCATTACGAATGTCACCTGCTTTCCGAACAAGTAAAAAACATCCCGTTCCTCTCCTCACATGTTTGGTTTCAAAACAGTCATTAAATTATATACTGCCACTTTACTAAATTACCGAAATACGAAACGACGCTAACCTGAATATGGGACTAAACCGTTCAAAAACAACTGAAACTAATACCCACAGAACGTTTTAAGCAGATCTAGTGAATGCGTCTACATGGAAAATTTTAGAGCTATGCGATCAGTGACATTTAAGCTTTTACTAACCGTAAGTGTAAATTTTGATTTAACGATTTGTATCGTAGCCAGAAAATGTATTTATCCATCAGCAAAGCGTTTCACCGTCATTGTTTCAAAAATAGTACTCTGTTCGTGCATTAAGAGCGAGTAAGAAAGTCCTTGAAAAATCCTTTAATTTACTGATTTAGTTTTGCGAGTGTCACAGTGCAAAGGCTTACCTAACATCTCGCGACAGAAATCAGCCGAGCTAACACCAATGCAAACAACTTAGCAAGTTTTGATCCCGACCTTAAATTCGATACAACGTGGGAAGCGACCTAGATCCTTAATAAATAACCAGCTAGGCAAAGTTCCCAAATTTCCAAAGTCAAACGCCATGGTTTTCTCTGTAAACACGTAGTCTCCGTCTGTAATGGAGCTATCCGCTGACAATTTACAATAAGATATCTTTGTAATTTGTGGGTTAATAACAGACTTAATGCACCATGGAGTCGGTAAACAAGTGTTTTTGGATTTAAGAAGTAAATGATTCTGCTGGATACCAATTTTGCATGAGAAAAACTATTAATTTAAAAATAAGGCCGTCTTTCGCTTTGTTGTTCAGTTCCTCTTTTCCTCTTTGCTTATTGGAAACCGTGTGTATCAAATTACTTACATTCAGTTGTATCGGCCACATTTCATGATCATATCTACTAAGAGATATGTTTTCATACTTGAATATTTCCAAAAACCTAGACAAAATTTCGCAATCTGTTTTAAAATCATTCCTTCTTTACCTCGGTTAGTGAAAGGATGAGAGCGTTTCACTCTAAAGAGCAAATCTTAATAGTCACGCGAGTAACAATGGCTTTCTCGCGACATTTTAAGTCACTTTATACAACAACAGCATGCCAGAATCTAACGCACTACATCTTGAAACATAAATCGAAACTTAAAATGTCTTCTCAAAAAACAGATTTTGCTTTATTGTGGAGCTCCGCTATAACAGACGTTTGGTGAGAGCGCTACACACCTGCGAGAAAGCCATTTTTACTGGCTGAATATTCAAATGAGCTCTCCAGAGTGAAACGTTAGCACCCTGTCATTCACTACCCTGCTGGCAGAGGCGTTTATTTGTTAACTTCCCCTACGGTCCACGTAAAAATAAAGTCCTCTACGCTCGGCCTGTTAAATCTTCTTCGAGCATGCGCCTGGGAATTATCCAAGTTTGCGGATAATCTGACTTGCAAAACCGGTCAGAACCTGTTTTAAACTCGTTTTTATGCGCACGCATCCTATTTAGCTATATAGCAAAACCAAGTGTGAGCCCACAATCCCGGTTATTGACCGAGTACTACCGGGAACTAATTTGTTTCCAAGCAATAGGCCGCCCATGCTCGAAGAAGATTTAACAGGCCGAGCGCAGAAGACTTTATTTTTGCGTGGACCGTAGGGGAAGTTAACAAATAAACGCCTCTGCCAGCAGGGTAGTCATTCACCGAAGCAGTAGCAATAAAATTAAAACAAAGTGCGAAGTTTTGGCTAAGTTTTTGGAAATGTTCAAACATGAAAACATGTCTCTTTGTTGATATGATCATGAAATGTGGCCGATACAATTGAAATGTAAGTAATTTGATATGCTCGGTTTTCAATAAGCGAAGAGGAAAAAAGGAAGTGAACAACAGAGCGAAACCCCATCTAATAATTCAATTCTACTGTCGATCATGCATATCAGAACACAGCAGGGGCTGAAACTTATTTGAGACTTATTATTTAAACAATGAGAACAAGGGAAGACATTTTCTTATTAAACGACAGCTCTTAATGACGGTTAGATGAAGAAGTCAATTATGTCACGATCACTTAGGGAATTTTCAACACCGAAAAATATCAAACCCGATTTGAAGACGAGAAGTTACAGAAGAAGCAATAGATATGAAAGAAAAAAATTTAGGCTATGTTTTTTTCTAAGCACATAAATCTTCAAACCTCGCTCCTTTGAGATCATGCAGTCGCTTACACAAGTGAGAACAAATGTTTATAATTTACCATAAGCAAAATTGGCATCCAGTAGGATCAATTACTTCTTAAATTCGAAAACACTTGTTTACCGTTTCCAAGGTACATATATGTATGTTATTAACCATCATCGAAACGATGTTCTCACAACTTGCAAAGACATCTCACTAGAAGTGTCAGTGGATAGCTCAATCACAGACGAGGACTACGTGAAGAAAAACATGGTGGTTGATTTAGGAAATTGGGGAACTTTGCCTAGCTGGCCATGGTTATTTTTGTAAGGATTCGAAGACGCTTCCCGATCTGTAACGAACTTCAGGCCGGATCAAAACTTGTTATGTTCTTTGCGTTGGTGTTGGCTCGGCTGATTTTTGTCCCGAGATGCTAATTAGGCCTATGCATTGTGACACTCGCGAAACTAAATTAGTAAATAAGAGATTTTTTAAGGATTTTCCTTGTCGTTCTTTATATAGAAACAGAGAACTGTTTTTGAAATAATGACGAACCCTCCATTTCACATGATGGCCAGTGAACCTCATGGAAGTGCTTTGTAGCCGTAACTTTACGCTTCTTAACGAAGACATTTCCTATCTGAACTCAGATTTGTTTTTGAAAGTTCCTCCCATCCTCGAACAGGCTTCGCCAAAGTAAAATCAACAAATGGTCAATAGAAAAGAGCGTATCCATCATAAAAAGTTTTGCTACGATGAGATTTTGTAGACAAAGTGTGAAAAAGGGAAGAATAACTCCTCTAGATTTCCACAAGACTTTATTCTTGATGATCTCCGTACAAATTCAAGACTTTCGCAAGAGTTTCCGGCGGATTTCCAACTGAACTTTCCTTCTTTCATTGAGTTATTTTTCGAGTCTACCATAACGTGCGAAGTAAAAATCCTCGGTCAAATGTCAATCAAGTCATCGGGTTCCGATTGGATAACTAGACAACAGTACAAATCACGTGCGACTGAGTAACGAAATCTATAAGTAACAAAATCTATTTTCAACACAAAGAACGGTACGAATTGTTTGAAAGACCAACTTCGTACGTAGAGGATTTGAGCGGCCCAGTGGCTTAGGGAGCACGCTGACAAGCCTGCGAATTAATTGCTTTGCAAATTGTGAGATGATCGTTTCTCGGTCCCAGACCCCGCCTCTTCCCCCACTTCCCCTTCCTCCTCCTTTCATCGTTTCTCGGTTCCAGACCTCGTCACTCTCCCCCCTCCCCCCCCAACCCTGGATATACTCTTAAAAATAGTTGTAACTGCATCGTTCACAGTATTTTATTTCGAAACCATTTAGGCTCCCAACGTCAAAGCCTCCATGGTTTACGAAGGGACATCAAACCCTTAAGGTCCTTGAGTGTAATAACTGAAAAATATCTGATAAATCTAGATGCATCAAAAGCAAAACCGTGAATTATGCAGTTTTTTTCGTTTGTTAGGAAGACCTTTTCATTTTTACCCCTTTGATACCTAACTGCATGCAAAATTTGAGTGGAGGTTGAAGTTTTTTATTTCCCAAGTTGTTTTCACAGAGACCAATTCTAAGCTTTCCAAATAAGAATTAATAAAAAATTAGGAATCGTACATTTTCTCTATACATGTATTCAAAGACGCGAGAGATAGCTTATATTTTCCGTTTTAATGCCGATACGAGAGAACAAGTTTACTAGCTTAATTTATGCACACGTGGCCTCATGGCTCTAGTATACAGTAGAATCACATCATTGAATAAAATCTCGCATTCTGATTTGTTAAAGAAGCGAGGTTTTTAGCGTGGAATTGCGAGTTGAAAACGAGGCTAAGTGATATTTTTTGGAATCTACGTATACATAACAAATATAAGTAAAGCTCTTCTCTCTTTATTTTTATTTTCATCCAACGAAAATTAATTACTTGACTCGCGAATTCTGCATTGAATTGGATGCGAAAAACGATATCAGTTTTCGCGTGTAATTCAAAGCGGAATTCCCTTGTCAAGTAATGAATTTTCTTATAGTAGACGTTGTAAATATAAAAGTGGTTGTTGGAGAAGTGATCGATTAGAAGACAAAAACGGGTGTTTCTGAGAATAAAAAGGCAGCAACAGATTGTTGGAGCCTTCCACTAAGCTAAACGTAGTATGCTTAGCTTTTCGTCCGAACGATGTCCCAAAAACTTAAGTAACCTTGGCGCCATACACTGACTTATCATTCGTTTAGTTATTTTTGCCTGCTATTTGTGTTACTTAGCAGCCCTTTGGAGATTTTAGAAACTTAGAAGTCGATGTTTTTTATGTCCTTACTTTGCTCTTGAAAGTTTCTTAGTTCTATTCAATTGTTGCACCTATATTGAGCAAGATAGTCAAATTGAAAACGTGGAATGAAAACTGTTCAACAAACAAGACTTTGATCACACTCAAACACACTTGATTGAATTAGAACAAGTTTTTCTTTGACGCGACTATCGTCAAAGCTGAGACAAAAAGAAGCGTCGATGGGTTGCTGACAGACAATCTTCCTTGTCCTACAAATGAAACAATCCAGAACAAGGTTGTTATTATTTATGTAGACACTTTGCTGCAGCTTGTGCGCCATTTTACTTTTGATAGGGACTAGCCATTAGTTGTCGCCTGAGGGAAAGTGGGACCGAGTATTTTGGCTGGGATCACATGGTTTTGAGGTGGAAGGGAGGAGAGATCAGTCGTAATCAACAGAGCGTAAAAGGGAGCCCACCAAAATTAATTGCCACTTGAGCACCAATGGGGGAAGAGATAGTAAGAATACCAAAGAGCATCAGATAAATTTTATGGCGACACAACCATGCAGAATTCTNCCCTCCCTCCAGGTGAAACATAATGACTGGTGCCTCACCACATTTTAATGTCATATTTCGAATGAAAGTGAACAAGCACTGGAAAAAAGATTTAAACTGATATCGGCCATTTTAAAACTGGATTCTTTTGTGCACTGCGTCAATGCATTGTATGTAACTTTCTGGTTGCTACTCCTATAAGACTCGTGCGAACAAAATAGACCTTGTTTGATGACGATGAATGTAGCAACGTATGACGTCATAGCATTTAAGAGGGCGGCTATCTGGAAATTTAAACGTTATTATCGCTTTATGTCATTATACATGTTAGTCCTTTATTTCTACATCACCAGAAATCGGGGACATTTCGAGCCCGTTACGAAATGTGAGGGGTATATCGTATTACAGACAATTCAATATGGCGGTGGGGGAAGTGACGTGAACACGTAACTTTCTATTTTCGTAAAACCCCACTAGAGAAAGGCCTGGTACTTTACTTTCCCAGGAAGCCAAAGGAGACGTCAAAACAAGGAAAATGGCGGCCAGATTGCGCAGTTGCCGGGACTTGTATCTTTCGTGTTCTTCCTTCCTATAATTGGGGTATTTAATAATGGCGTATTGGGCTGATGAGCTCTGTGAAAATACGAAGAGTCTCCTGGCTCAAGGAAAATTTATGGGCCAACATATTCGACCGTTTACGAGCGATTTAGTTGAGCAAACTTCTGCAGAATGTATATCGAACTACGTAGTTGCAAATCTTCACAAGGTTGTTCTCACGACGAAAGAATTGTAACACCTAGTCGAAGCAGATTTTAAGAGTTTGTAACGGAAAATAGAGTCAGAATTATGAGTTTACTCGTATACCTTGGGAAAAGGTAGGCTTGAATTTGAGTATTTCTTTTTCGTAGCGATGGACGCTTTAACTAATGCAGGCTGCATTTCCAAGTACGCAGCGAAAGAATATCCCATTCTTAGACAGCTATTTTGAAAAAACAATCTTTTCCCATACATTTTCTTATACTGTTTCGGCGCCATTTTGCTTGTAACACGAGAACCGCCTCCGCCATTTCAAAGGAGGTAGTAAGCTTATGTAGCCATTTTTGAAATTCTAACTAAGAGTAGAAATTCATTTTTTAATCGAAGTCTTCCTTGGCGTTGCCGTCCTGACTGCTAAAGGTCCCTAATTTAATGGAATATGTCGTCTTAAGCATAACATCTGCAAATGGTTAGACTGTTAAGGCTTTCGGATAATGGCTATAAGCCTTGGGCCACATTTCCCGTACCATTTATACTTTAAAGCTTGCAGAGGAGAGTAAAGAGCCAACACATTAGCTGGAAAGAGAGGGGTGGTCTGCTCATGGATTGTAATGTTTACATGGTACAGAGGAAGACAAGGAGAAATTAGTAACGGAGATTTTCTGAAATTTACAAAAGCAATGTATCTATCTCAAATTAAGCATAGGTTGGTCTCCCCTAGATATATATATATATATATAACTGCAGACAGTGCACACTGTTTCGACCTATGTGGGTCTCATCAGTGCAGGTATATATATATATATATATATATATATATATAACAAAAAATTATAATGATAAAAGTCAGTGGTGATTTAATACAAACCTGCTTTAAAGGAAGCCTTGAATCCCTTATAAACCGTGGTAGAGTTGCTGTCACTTTTGAACTGAACCCAGACAATGTTTTCTTTACTCTGTATGGAACTTGGCTTGGTCTTTCCACACAGGTGTTTGGTCAGTATTGGACCGTACTGGCCATTTATATTTTTGGGATCACCAACCGTAACATATGCTTCACGGAATTCAACATAGTCATTTTCGCAGTCTTCACTATCCTCCAGATCAAACGTGTCAAAGTCTATCTGGACCTGCCTTCCCTCGGGTACAATTAAAAACCACTGCTCTCTGTAATCTGCAGGGTAATTCTGGGCGCCAGCCTTTGGTGTGCCAAATGTAATGGTTTCGTCTTCGGATGCATTTAGATAGTTTGCGCCACCGTCTGGAAAGTAAATACAGTTTTCTTTCCGCGCTTAAAAACCGTACCAAGAGAAAGCCATTTTTTTATTGCCTTGTATGCACGTTTACCTTCATGTTTGCTTGATTTTGTTTTGGTCTTGTTTTGTAATGGATAGATGGACAGATAGAGTCTTAATTAGGCGACAAAATATTAAATCTATTTGCTTGTGGGTTCGTGTGTCTATGAAGTAATTAAGGCTTAACTAAACAAGAATTTTTTTAAATCAAAACCTGAAGTATTGTAAGGGATCAAATTGACCATGATGACCAATTCCAGAAACAGTTAGATGATCCTACACATCTAAAAAATTATTCAGCATCTATCTGCTACCCTATGATTATTGTAATTAAAGTTGGAAGCCTCTGTCGACTTCTCATGGTAGATAAAAAGAGTCCTTAAAGATGAAATAATTTGAGTATATCAACAAAGTTGAAATGGTAAACTGAATTGGCCACCGTTACGATTATAAAAGCTGACGTTTCGAGCGTTAGCCCTTCGTCGGACCTCAGTGTAAAGAATCAGTCTTGTTCTCGAATAACAAAGTGAAAAAGGCTTTTTGTCTCATTTGATAGCGTATTTGGTGACGATTCACCATGGGTTGACGACATCTTTGGAAAAAAGTAGGCTCCCAAGTTCACCTAAGGATATCATTCGAAGCCACACCTTTCAATTTTGTTTGTATAAATGTTTGTGCATTTTCTCCTTACCTGCGCTTGAACCAGCGATAAAGGTGAGATTGAAACCTTTGTAATGTCCAGTATCATCCGACACGAAACGAATATAGGCAATTGATCCTGAAACATCAGACAGAAGCCCACCACTCCAATCGACGAAAAAGAGATACTCGTACAAATAGTTGTTACTATAGCGTCCACATTCTTTACCGTATCGCTGGTCTAAACCATTGTAGGTGCTATTTATTTTAATACTGTCGCATTCACAATCCTTGCACCTTTCTATGTCACGGCTACAAAAAAAAAAAAAAGAAAAACGCAAAAATAGATAAAATTCGCTTTCTAGCGATAGATGCATAGGCCATTGCAGAAACTTGAGAGGACTGGGAAAGAGTGTGGTTGTTTTCCGTTTGTTTGAAAAACTAAGATATTCAAATGAAAGATCAACTAAATTTGGGAGTCTTAAGTAAGAATAGAAGTATTTAGAGGAGGAAAATGGCAAAATGACAGCTTTTCAAATATCACCTAAAATAGTGAGTTTGTACGGATTGGGTAGACAGGAAAAAAAATTTTAAGGGTTTGTATGGAATTTTTGCAACTTTTGCAAGGTTCCAACTTGGACACTTTTCCGCTGAAAACTCTCAAACTTGGCTGGGTAGCTTTTCATTCAGTAACAATTCAGTTGAAATGTTTAGATTTTCAATGTAATCAATATAAGAAACTCGTCCCAGTCCTCTCACGTTTCTGCAATGGCCTGTAGCGACTCATGTCAATCTTTAACTTACGAGGAAGGGACCGAGTAGAGTTAACAAATGGTAAACACCACAGCGTACACTATTGAGTTATGGATGCACGCGGGAGGTTGCTAAGCACGAAAGAAGCGTAAGAGTCGCTCTCGGCTATCGCCTCGAGCGACTCTAGCTTCTTGAGTGCTTAGCAAACCTCCCAAGTGCATCCATAACTCAATAGTGTACGCTGTGGTGTTTACCATTTGTTAATACATAAACTTTATTTATCCTCGGATTCTAGATTAGCTTATAAGCTAGTATCTCCGATCCTAATTACTACTTTAGTGTACGCTGTGGTGTTTACCATTTGTTTTATAACATAACATTGATACATTGTAGCTAAAGAGTTCCCTTTTATTTAGCAAATCTCACGCGACCAGAAAAAACAACATCGCGTAAAAATAGTCTTTGCATTTGCTCACGTCAGCAGCGTACACCCATGGGCAAATGGGGGACGCTACATTGACCAATCAGAGCGCGCGGTTTACTTTGGTTATGTTATAAAACAAATTAGGGAACAAAGGGGGAGAAAATTCAAATGGAAGACTGTGTTGTTCAACAACTGTTAGTTGCTAATGGCAGAAAAATTGAGAGGATTTTGAAAGCTTTCGGAGTAAACTGCTGGATTTGGGGTTGTGTTGGTGTTAATTGAGTGAAGAATGGAGAAATAATTTTCGAGTGAAATCGGTAAAAGATAAAATATAGATAACTCAATAAATTCAACGAGAAGCGCTAGTTACTCCTTGGGGAAAAGGTGCTTAAAGGATAAGACGTTGTTTTTTGCCAGTTTGCGGCGTATGCATCGCGTCAAGAGTCTCAAAGGAGGTTCGTTGCATCTGCATCAGACACTGTAATTCAGATCCCTTCAAACTGAATTCATTGCACTTAACTTGGAGACATCTTCTTAACATAAAGAACAAGTAACAATCCATAGCTGATCAACTGTCTAAAGTTATTCTTTAAAGGCTGGTAGGAGTTAATAAAAAAACAATCTTTCGCGCCACAAAGATCGAAATAGTCTGTTTATCTCCAGGCAATTATATTGTAATCAGAGAATGTTTAGAAATACATTTGATAATAAAAATTAACGGTAAAAAACTACGACGTTTCGAAGTCTGCATGACCTCATCTGC